GGCCAGCGGCGCGCACCTCCGGGCGCTCACCCCCGCACACCGCCGCAACAGGGGGTGTTGAGGGCGGTGGCGTTTGGTTTTCTGGTGGTTTCTGTTTGCTGTAATCCAAGCACTCTTAGTGCCTTACCCTTGCTTTCTCACGGTCGCCAGGCACGCTGGTGCATCCCAGCCCCCGTGGGATGCTGGTGTTGCTCTCCAGGGAAAACTAACAGTAAAATATTTAACAACTCACCCCAAAAAGTTACTATTTGTGGGTTTTTTTTACAGAGAAAGCAATACCAACATCATCTTATACTAAGGCAAGGGGTGTTTACAGATGAGGGAAGTACAAAGTACCGACCCACAGAGTTGCGTTTTCATCTTCTTCACTGTCGAGTATGGTGAAGGTTTAAGATTACAACTTTACGTCTGGTTTGTGTTAAAAAGCCTTCCTCCCTCCCCTCGTTAAAAGCAACAACATTCACTCATTTTTCCAACAGTATTTGTACCATTTTTATTTGTAAAAATAACCATCTGAATGCATTGCAATAGTAGTTTACAGTTAGGGCTCTTTATTACATTAATACAGCATTCAGTAGTTGAAAAAGTTACTAAACTGTGCTTGAGAAGATCCAAGTTGAATTCCAAGTCATCCACTGAATTTAAGGTTTCTCTCCTCGTTTTGTATGTGACATTTACCCAAGTCCTTAAACTTCGATTTACAAAAGCAAACAATACCGACAAAACCCCACTGAAACCATCCAACAATATTTTATATTGTTTATTACAAACGTTATGCAAAATATAACACTGGCACCAGATGCATCTCACCATGGTTTGTAAAGATATATTGCACATGCTAAAGCATAAAATATAAGACAAAACCTACAAAACATAAGATATTGGCTTTAATATGTAGATCACTGCATAAGAAACGCATCAAATTACATCTTATACACACACTCAGATTGTCACTAGTTCCAAACGCCCTTTCCTAGAACACTGACCTAAGGGTTGCTTTTTGTGTAATAAGAAAGCATTTTCAGCACTGCAAAAATTAGACATTATTCTCTAGAAATTTAGCATAATCATTTTCATTTCAATGCAGGTAGAACATATGAAAAGAAGAAACACTTTGTACATTCAAAGAAGGTCTGAAATGAAAATTTACTGGTAATATATTGCTTTTATAACACTCAAATGAAAAAGAAAAAGACGAGTTTCACAAAACATTTCCATTATACACAAATATAAAAAGGCACTCTAATATTTCTTACATGACTAAGAATAAAAATCACAATTTTCTTTTTAAAATCATCCTCAAGATACATAACCAAGTTTCTCAACAGTACAATGGATAAACAATTCATTTCATGTGTTTGTTCTAATTCAATAACCTGGCAGTTGTTTACTGCATAAAAGTACCAAACACATTATGGTGCCCTTTTAGTAGTGATGAACAGAAATCCCCTGAGCTATTTCACAGCAATTTCAGGCAGTCCAGAGGTTGTAACTCAGTATTTATGAGAGGCTTGGGACCCCACCCTGCCATGGATTCCACCTGCAGCTGTGGTTAAAGGGCAGGAGGAAAGGTCCTGCTGATACTCCCGGGCAGACCAACACCCTATGCTTGGTGCAGACACACAAGTGGTCCATGTACTGTAAATTGCAGGATCCAGGGTTAAGTGCAACAATTCTGTGTGATTACTCTTGTAAGAAGTCCACAGAAAGGCAAGGAGGATCATTTACCAGAGTAAAATTACTCCCATGCTTAAATACCTGCCCTAAAGTACAGATTGACCTCTAGATGTGCTAAATTACAGGTTAATGTACTAGCATACAACACAAGGGGCTCTGGTGACCGGGGTGAGATGTGGGACAGGCCAGCACTGAGTACTCCCACGTGTCTCACGCTCAGGGCAGTTTCCCTCCTCAATCCAGCACACCCTTCAGGTGCCAACACTGCACACTGACAGCACTGTGAGCCTACAGAAGAGTTGAGATGGGGTTTGGTTCCTGAGGGATCAGCGTGACTCCGGGATCACCTCTGCTCCTGGGATGCTGTGCACATCACGAGGAGGCAGCAGCTGTTGCCCCACACCACTACCAGAGCTACGAGGTATTGCAAACAGGAATCATTTGGGTAACTCTGTATGGTAGCAAGTAAAAACACTGAAACTCTGCCAATGGCTGCCTAAGTTAACAGGGCTGGTTTTCTCCTGATGAAGCACTTCCATGTAGGATAGCATACCCTGCTGTATTTCAGGGTGAGACTTGTAACCAACACTGCCAAGGACCTTACCTACACTTCTGCTTAAAATAAGATTACAAGGCTGGTCCTGCTGTCACACAGGTGGCAGCTATTCCCCGTGTTTGTTTTCAATGCCAGTATTCCACATTAAAAAAGTAAAATTTGGGATTTCTATTCATTTTGGAACACATACCACTGAAAACTTGAATGACTAATCTCTCCTCTTATTTTCAGTGCTTAAGGTAAGGTGGTTATTGCTATTGTGCAACTTTTAAAAGCAAAAATATTGAGAAAAATCAATCATTTAAATGTTATTTTGTGCTATTTCTGAGGAGAAAACCAGGGTTTCAGGTGCTCTGTCATTCTATTACAGAAACTACAGAGGTGAGGGAAGAGACACTATCCCTTGTAATTTGTTTTGTTGTCAACTTGGAAAATAGTTCAAGGAAAAAAATACTTAAAATTTTAGCAAGGCAAAATAAACTTAATATATAAATACTTTTTTCCCCCTTAATTAAAGAACTGAAATCGGCCAATAGATTTTCAACAGTTCAGTGGAACATGGCTAAAAACTACTTTCATTTACCCTGCCAAGAGCAAGGAGGAAGCTCATCTCACCCTCCAGCACAGACTTAGGCCTGTGGACAGCCTGAGTGTGAATCCCAGGAACTTTAACACCCTGACTCCATGCTGTGCTGCATTTTCCCCTCTGTGTTTTGTCCCCTGTCTGGCAAAGGGCTGGATCCCCTTCTTATGCTTTTAAGGGAAGGTGTTTTACTTTCTGCTTTAGCCTGTGGCCTTAACCTTTGCATACCACACAAGATGAGCACTGTCCCAAAGCACACCCACCCTTCCCTTTGCTCCTCAGGCTGACTCCTGCCTGGATTCACATTGCCTCTGACATCACACCAAACAGGATGCACAAATGCTAACTAGGAGAACAAGCCATAGTTATTTTTCCTGGGCATTTGTTTCATTTCGAATAAATAGAAACACATTTACATTAAAAGTATATGAACATATTCTTTAGTCTGGAAAAAAAACCAAACAAACAACCACCTGTGGTCAACACATCATCAGTTAAAAATGTCAACTTGAAACCTGCGTCATAAAATGTAAAACTCACTCAAGACTACTGAGTATCTCAAAAGTTTATATTTTTTATGGTTTAGAAAAAACTACTTCATTATGTCACTCACATTTGAAGAAAAAAAATAAAAGTAGCAAAGTCTTCAATTTAATTACTGAAGCATTTTGGTCCTCTTGGTACAGCTGGTTAGTTCATGAGAGCTTTTGTTTGGGATTTTTTGTTTTTGTTTACAAAGTCTCATTCTTCCTTTTGTACATCTGTTGCAGAGGAGGGTCGTGGTCCATTTGACCTAGAAACTTTGGCAGAAGGAGTAAACATATTCACAAAGTTGACATTGCTTCAAAAGCTGGTGACAACAGGCTTTTCTAGCACGTATCTCCGACCCCCTGCACAGTGCGCTGCTATGTATTCTGGTGTTTGGTGTTTCAACTTTGGGTGTTTTGCTTTCATTGCTTTACCTTTGCTCTGTTAATCCAAACGCTGGCAAAAGTATTTTAAAATTCAATACTGTTTACAGTAAAAAATAAGTTATTTAACCATAGAAAAGGAAAAGAATTCATTTAAGTTGGCAAGTCATTACAAACTCTTACATACACCTGATTTCTTCCCCCTCCCCTTTTTTCTTCTGGTACTGGATTCATGATTAATGGCTCAGGTGACAGATACATCTAGTGACCCTAATTCTGTAGTGCAAATCAACTGTACACATTTGTGCTGAATTGAAAAAAAATAAGGGCCAAGTGATTTTAATTTACACAAGTGGTGTCTGTGGGGAAACGTGGTGAGTCGAGGAGAATTTGGCCTTAAAGAGTTAATAACTACATCTTTCTAATCACGTGCTGCAACTAAGAGCTGTAAAAAGTGCCTTCTGTGTGTTTAAGTGCTTAATACAGGCAGAATGTAAAAGGGTTCATTTCCTGCAGAAGAGTAATACAGGCAGGTTTAAGATCACAACTTTACCTTTGGTTTGTTTAAAAAAACTTATCTAATTAACAGAGCCCCTGGAAGCAGGAAACAGACAAACATGGGAAAGGGTTGATTCTCCAATCCATGAAGGCTACGCTGGAAATAGGGTCATGTACTAAAGGTACAGCTAGAACTTGTAAGAACTCTTCACAAACAGTTCCCTGTTTATTTGTGCTGTCGAAAAGAAAAAAAGGCATTTTCTTTTTTTTTTTTTCCTACTTAAAATAAGAGGTAGAGACTTTTCACAGGGGCACTTAGGGCCTAAAGAAAACATCAGGAAGCTGAAAACTGCAGAGCCTTAACGGGAATATGTTCCAGTAAATCCCTCTAACTTTGTTGTTTAAAGGCTTGGTTCTCATCAATGCTACAGATCTTTCAATACCTACTTGTCAAGAATAGGAGTTAAGAGCATAGCTGTGGGATTTAGGCTGTTTAAAAAGACAAAAATAAAGCTGAAATGAAATAATCATGAAAGAAAGATTTTTGAATACCAGTGAGTCAAAATGTTTCCGAATCCGAATCATTTTCATTGTACCCATCCTCTGTCCCCATGTTATTACTCAAGGGCTTATTGTAAGAGTTAATGCTACCCAGACCGGAGCCATCGCAGACGTGTGTCCTGCCCAAATTGTCTTTTTTAAAGCAAACGAAGTTGAAAGCCGTCACTGAACTGGAGGGAGAAAAAGGCATCATGGTAGCCAAAATGAGTGCCAGGCAGTCAGCCACGTCTTTGTTAGGAGCACAAGCCAGGGCTGGCGTATGACCTGGGCACAAACGCAGACAAGGCATCGGTTAGTACTGAGGGCACCGCGGGCACTGAGCATTCCTCAAATACATCTCTAGGGACACGGGAGATGTATGGTGGGGACAGTCATGCCAGGGTGTTACTCGTCTCACGATACACATGCTAGGAACACACACTCCGGGGCACATCTCCACTGGGACCACAACAAGCACTATGGTTTTACAACCAGGCAGCAAACAGACTTCACGGTTTGGATCAAAGCACTTGCTAAACACAGCTCTACAGCACAGACACGTGATGGGTACAGAACGTGGGGAGTACAGCCACGGGGACAGAAACTGGCGTCAGTTTCTGCAGGTATGAATGAGTCTCATTCTGAGAACAACCACTCTCGTTAGAACATAAGAGATATTAGTTTACAAATATTTCGATTTAACAAGCAAGTGATTTTAAAGACTGATCAGTTTTTACTCAGCTTGGAAAGCAGTTTATTTAGGAATTGAATTATAAAAGAATTAGACCAGTGCATGTGGTACAGGTATAGCAGGTATGACCACATGAGTGTTTAGTTACCCAAATTGTGTTAGGAGAGTAATGGCTGTATCCAGCAAGCATGGCTTATGCTTTAAATACAAAGCTAACACAATTCAGATGGCAGGAACTGGGGAGCTATTGGAGCTTGTCTTCACTGCTGTGTAACTTGGCTCCTGTCCAAGCACTGCCCCTGCAGCAGCTCCTTACATACCGAGCTTGGGAAGCCACTGTGCTGTCTGTACATCCTGCAGGCTGCTGTGCAACACTCCAGCTCTTTGAACAAATCCCCCTTTATGCTTAGAGCAAATTATTTTGCAGACAGCTAAATCTTAAGCCCTGCAGCAATACTAGTCTGAGGCAGCGACCACTACTGGTACCTACAGCCTCAAGTAAGCCAAGAGCACCTGCAGTGAAAATGAATTTGGTAGGGAAACGTGAGTACAGTTTTGTTGCAAACTACCCACATTTAAGCACTGACTGGAGTCAGTGCATACCCTATGCATTGGAATTTCCTCTTCCAATGAGTTACAGGCATTAATATTCTTTAGAATTGTACTTACACTGAGACTGTGCTTAAATCTCTCTTTTAAACTGCATATGCAGTTGTTCATGGAAAAACTAAACATGGATAAGATTTAAACTTAATTTTCATTTGTTACATACAAACAAATCACCTGGATCTGTATGTACTGTTTGAAGAAGAAAAACTATAGTTAGAAGCTAGGCTAGTTCATTTTTCTGTCCCCTGTCTCTAAAATGAGGTTAGGGCCAGATGACTTCAGTGGAACTCATCCATGCAGATGTAGCTGGGTGGCATTTGGTTTGTGCTAAATACTCACCACTCAGTGAGTGCTGTTCATCCACACATCTCCAATGTCTCCCAATGATGGATGAGTGTTATTATTGTTACTTTACAGATACGGAAAGATGGAAGTGCCAAATTGTTACATTACTGCCATGAAGTTAGTATTGCAGGAAAGACCAACTCATTTTAGGAATATATTGTTTAAAACTATAATTATAGAAATTGAATATAATTTAAAATTTTAATTATATTATAGAATCAGATCCCTCTGTGAGCTTAGCATGTTCAGGGAAGGACTTCACTGGGGTCTGAAACAAAATTCTTAGATTTATTAACTAATCATGTATTTCATGGGGCAACAGTAATTTACTTTCATTTTGGATTAGGTCAGACAATTGGCAAGGACAAGGTTTGATCTCAGAATGAACTAGGACACAATCAAACATATGTGGATGGTTTTCCTCCTACCCATTCAAACATGCGCTGATTGAATGCATAATCCTTAATTCTTCTGCAAGGCGTCAGAATTATCCGGTGCCACTTGCATGTTTAGGAAATTCAAGTTACCACTGCACTCAAGCATTAAAAAAGACTAGCTGTTGACAGTACATGCAAAATGAACAGTAAAAGGGACTGCTGTGATGATCAGAATACATTTTTATATTAGAGAAAAATAAATAGTATCTTTTTTGGCTTTTAATAGGTACTCACACAACTCACTGCCTGTTCTTGGAAGGATAAATGCATCAATGAAGTCTATCATCAGCTTTTAAGTCTATCGCTTCGGTCTGTTGTACAATTACCTGTTGGGTCCTACTGCAGGTTGTCAGGGTGTATTGTTTACTTACCATTTTCATCCACTGCTAGGACACATGCCCCTTTGGCTAGCAACTCTTCAACCACCAGCTTCAAGCCATTCCGCGCAGCAATGTGGAGGGGTCTGCAAAGATACAACAACTGCATTCAAGTTCTGCTTCAAACAGACTCTAAACCAAGTCAGGTTATGCTTAAAGCACTCCCAGCATCTGAAAGGGAATGATTTCCTTCCTTGCATCATTAGAATGATGCTGTAGGCACTAAATTATATTGCAGCCTTTGAAATAATGGTGTTCTACACCTATAAAATACATGTGCAAGCACACAGAGACTGCTCAGTACTTTCCAGTCTAAAGGCTTGCTTGAAAGAGTTCTCATTTTTGCACTGTTTGCAGCACACAATTGACATTTAAAAGGAAAATTAATTCAAGACTGAAGATCTTTGTTCCATCCTTAATTCTGGCTACTACAGACTGTTCAAAATCATCATTTTGCCTTGAATCCTTCATTGCTAACCTCTGTTACTGCAGAGCAGCTGGAAATTTAAAATATGCAGTTTGCTCCTTTCCTATCCCAACAACCAAATGCTCTTGTTTGGGGACAGCTATCAGGACAACAAAAGCATTTTCATATTGGAAGGGGGGAAAAAAGGGCTAAGATGCAATGAATTGCTTTGCAAACACTAGATGACCCGCCACCTGAATCTCTTGTTGGCTGAATCTCTTGCTAAGGGATTCCCCTGTGCAAACAGTTGCAGGTGGAGCAAGAATATTGGTGGCTCTAACTCTGCTGATAACATATGCTATGGACAGGAGGTGGGCATAAAATATCACCTAAAAACCCCTCTGGAAATTAAACGTACCACCTTAAGTCTGAATACATTATTTAAACTTAAGGTGAAGCTCAAAAAGCCAGAAAATGTCAGATATGCACTTACACATTAGCATGATTCACAGACATACCGATAGAGTCTTCAAATAAATGGCCTCATAAAATTTTTCCATCAAATCACACATAGAATTGGCATCAAAGGAATCAACATTAAAAGTAAAAATGCAATACAATTCTGGTCTTTTTCAAGGGCAAGGACTCAGAAAAAAACAGAACTTTACTGTTCAATGAGAAAATCTGAGACACGAATTTGAAATGCTAAATTGGAATCTTCTGGTAAATCAGCTGAACTGGAGAGAATCAGGCTCTACTTACGTCTGCAATGCATTATTTTTTGCATTAATAAGGCTCTGTTCTTGTATCTTGTCAAGTATTAACAAGGCACATTTTTCATGACCCTGTAGTTGGGGATAAAAACCAATAATGTTAATTTGCTGAGGAGTTTGAAATGGAGACAAAAGAAATGTTATGTAATAAAAGTGAAATTTAATAACTCAATTTGAAATACAAAACATGCTCCTCAGTCGGATTGTATAGAAGGGGAACTGTAGCAGCCTTAAAATATTATTTTTGAACAGCCACTGCTGGGATGTTTGAGCACATTCACCTGTCTTTCAACCCTCACTCATTAACATGAATTTCCCTCCCCAGCTCTCAGACATGACTGCTGCTTCCCCTGAGGGAGCACTCAAGGGATGATTGATTAGAGCTACGTAGTAGCACAGAATGGTGTAATCTCAGAAACCAATACTATACCTTCTGGGTCTTTAAATGCCTTTCTGTATTATTAAGAAGCTACTATAAAACCCCTTTAGTGTGAGAGAGCTCTAACAAGGAAACTCTGGGACTAATACAGATCCAGGCCTTAATTCTGCTCCTGTGTCAGCACAGCAAGTTGCAGATGCTGAGCCCTCAGCCCTGGCAGGTGAGCAGGGCCTGAAGGACCTTGAGACTTCAGCAAGGCTTATGTGTCTGCAGACACTGGAGCAATACCAACACACTGGAATCCAGTCTATGCATAGCAGCCAAAGAAAAGACCCCAGAGAGAGAATCCTGTGGGCATTTTTCCTTGCAGAAACAGCAGCAGCAATTGGAATTAAGAGGAAGAAGAGGCAGGAAAAGACACCTACCACCAATCTGTTCAATGCCTCTGTTTTGACTGCTACTCTGTTAAGCTGAAAATTGTGGGCTCGTTACACAGAAATTCGAGAATAAGAAAAAAACCTTTTTACTTTTCTTTGTTACCAAACTGGTTAAGGTATTTTACATCGAGATTATCTGGTAAAATCCTAGAGTTTCCTTTACTTCTCTGTGTCACTTACATTTCCACTGTCCTAAGAGGCATCCTGATTTCTCAATGCGCAAAACTTTGGAACAGACTTGAGAGAAAGCTTGGGACAATGTTCCCTTCCTCACCACAAGTCTGACCACCACATTTCCATTGCAGAAAAAAAACTGGGGAGCATAAACACACGCATACATTCATACAAAATGTGGTAAGAATAAGAGCATAGAGAGGTCTTCAACTTACTTTACTGCTAGCCAAGTGCAATGATGTATTCAAGTCCTTATCTTTCAATGTCAGGTCAGCCTTGGCAATGTTCACCAAAAAGTCTGAGCAGAAATCAACAAACAAACCCAGTGGGCAGATGAGCATGTCAAAACAGAGGGAAAAAAATTACTGTTTCAATATACATGTGCAAACATGCTGATCAGTTAAGCTTCTATAGGATGTAAGCTGTATAAACATGAAGTGAAATTAGTGAATGAGAACAAACTAATCTTGTGCAGTTAATCAGCAAGCAAAGGCAGAGCTAAGAGCGCATTCACTTTGTCCCAAACCATCAAACATACATTAACCTTAATTTATTTATGAACTTCCCTATTTGCACATCAGCAAGTTTTGCCTGAATCACATTCTCCTGAGAACAACTGTGGGTCCTGTTTTGACAGGACCAAGTGGATATCTGGGGTGCAGCCTGTGCTGTTGGAGCTAGAGAAAAGGGAATGTGTTTAAGCCAGTAGGTCCCCAATCTGTATGCCTATAGCATATAGCTGGTTGGAAACTCTTAAGTTTCCAAGTAAGTAGGGAACTAGAAGAAACTGTAAGTTCGTTGGAAATTATAAGTTATTTGCTGAAAAAAGCATTTGCTGATAGCTGCCATTTCAAGCACAGGACTTCCTTTTAGAGCACAGAAAAAGGTTACATGATCTGTTTCACACATGCAGCTTTACTGCTTCAAAAAATCAAGGAAGTAAACAGCAGAACAGAACTACCACAACCCCTCGTGCTCTCTGCAGTGTGCTCTTAGGAGGAAACAAGGCTCAAGTTTGTTACTGCGAATGTTCACCAAGACTGCTGAGAAGAACAGTGGTAAATGTGGCTTCCTACAGGCATCACATCATTTATTTCCTTTCCTTAGGTTTCACAGGCTAGAAAGGATTACTCCTTTGGGACAGTCACTGCAGAGCACTGACCCTGGCAGGCAGAGGCAGGGAGCACTCACCCACGGCCGCCGCGTGCCCGTTGCGCGCAGCCATCATGAGCGGCGTTGTCCCAGTGCGGTCAGCGGCGTTGACCTGCGCGCTGTGGCTCAGCAGCAGCTGCAGACACTCCACGTGGGCCGCGAACGCTGCGGCGTGAAGGGGCGTCCTGGGGAACAGTAACAAGGCCACAGCTTTGGCTACAGGATGAGAGCATCCCTGTTTGCCTGCCTTCACAAAGACCTCAAAAGTGCAATGTATTTTATTGGTTTCCTATGAAATGTCAATTTACCACCAGGAGAAAGTCAGAGTAGCAGCACCTGAAGTAAGTTACATCATATTTACAGTCTCTGTCCTGGAAAGCAGGAAGCTGAGACTGAGGAGATTTATATTAGCTGTTAGGACATTTTTTTTCCCTCTTAGGGTGGTGAGGCACTGGAATAGGTTTGCCCATGGAGGTGGTGGAGTCACCATCCCTGGAAGTGCTTAAGAGGCATCTGGATCTGACTCTAGAGGATATGGTTTAGGGGTTACAGCAGACTGGCAGGTTAATGGTTGGACTTGATGATCTCAGAGGTCTCCTCCAACCTTGATGACTCCATGACTCTAAGGTGGATATGACAGTATAGGGATATGATACTGTGAAGAATCTCATATTAGAGTAATCATTTTAACAGAGCATACTGTGTAACATGAAAAGCACTACCACCCCTCATTCTTATTCATCTGATTTTATTTTTTGAACAAGCCTCAGGTGGAAATAACTATCATACAAGTAAAGGTAAATATTAAATCATAGTCAAAAATACTGCAGCAACGTATGACAGTAACAGCATTACTATAAAGGGCAGAAGGAATCCAACCCACTTCGAAGATTATCAGTTTCTAGCAGACTGAGACACTAAAATTTGTTCGCTGTCTCCTCTGGCACTTTGGGTCTGAAGTGTGACTACTAGAGATGAAAGCTGGTACACAACCCAGCTCAGTGTGAGTTTTTGCTTATCAACAAAGGTGAGATGGTCTTACCCTTACAGGATTAAGTAATGAGGTAATTAAATGTGGTTTAATCAGCAGAAACAATGACTATTCAGCTTTCAGAATTTCAGCAATTTTAATGAGATATATATATATATATATCTACACAGTGAGGAGATTATCAATGGGGCAAATGGAGAATTTGGCTGAATGCATCTCTCTTGCTGTATCAGTATTATTTTGCTGCACAGATGTTTTCAGTTGTGTGCCCTGAGAATGCTAACAGAACATGAAAACTTTGAATGAAATACTTTTCAATATGCACAGAGTGTCACTCCCTTTAGCAAAGATAAATGCATTTCAACATTTAGCAAAGCAAACAGGTTCAGGGAACAGCCCACAGCCACTGCTGTTCTAAACAAACAAAATACTCTTTCGTTTGTATTTTTTCTCATATGCACAGTGACATTGAATACTTCATAGCATTCTTGCTTCTAGTGAGCCACCATTTAACTGTGCTGCAGTCTGAAAGAGTCAGCATGTCTTAGCCATATCAGATCAGGATTAGTTCCAGAGGTTCAGGAAGAACTAGGAAAAATTCTAACTAGCTTCATGAAATGCAATTTGTTAAACGATCTCTTACCTTCCCTTGTCATCCTCACAATTGACAATGCTGGCATCAATGGCTCCGATGAGCATTGATGCACAGTTTTCATGGTCATTGATTCTGCCAAAGAAAGTAGATTTTCAGAAAGGTGAAAACTCTACATCTTTTGCCATCTTCCAATATTAGTTTACTTCACTTCCCAGTAGTATTTCTTACTGGTTATTTGTCAGTTACCCTAACGTGCCTTTGCCTTAATGCTTTCAGTCACACTTCTGCATATCCATCATCTCTCCATTTGACCAACCTGCATCTGCTACTGTGAATTTCAGTCTCTAAAGCAAGGCCGATCCTGCAATTCACTGTGCACAAAGGTAACTGGAAGTCCAGCACAAACCTAGGATTAAAACCTTAACATCTTAAAATCTTTAGTCTGTATGTCAAACACATCTGCATTATTTCCCTAATACATTGGCTTTTATCCTTTCAAAGTGTGATACATGACAAATTACTTGTCTACTTTCTAATGCTGTGGAGACTGTAGAAGAAAAGCCTACACAACAGTCACTCCTGTCATCACTCCTGAAAGACATTTGTTCTTCCAAGGGAACACAGACTAGAATACAGTTGTTCTAATTACTGGCAGGAATTAGGAAGGTTTGCATTTGTCTTTGCAGCACTTAATTCCTTACTCTGCTGATGGTTTACATGTTTTAGTAGGCATCCTACATACTAAAGTAATTTGCATTTTTTTCTAAAATGCATTTGTAATTACATTAGGAAAAGTTACCATTTTGCTCTATTGAAATCATTTCTGCATGAAAATGTACTGCTTTATTTGAATGCAGATGTGTCTAAAATACAGGCATGACTCATAACAGCCACCAACATTTTGTTGTTCATAAGCAATATGAGAGCTTTGAATACAGAATCTGCCTGTAAAGCTGATCAGCCTGGGTAGGAAGTCCTAGACCTTCCAGACATGAGATTATGTGAGAAGCAAAAAAGGCTGTGAAAAAAGTCAGACTGGAAATCACTCAGGTGAGGATGTGCTGTGAAAACTATGGCCTGCACAGAACACCATTCCAGCATGGCACAGATTGACAAAGCCCTTTCTTCATGAAGGCTTTGTTCCTATTACTAAAAAAGAATCATCTTGATTCTAACACATTTATGAGCTATTAGCCACTGGGGTTTCCAAAGGAACCTCAAAAGCTCATACTTACACAGACCAAGGCACTACAGCCCAGGTCGTGGCCTCAGAGTGGAAGAGCTGTACAGTTCCACCCTGTGTGAAGAAAAGGCTTAGGTCTGTAATTGTAAGTGAGGGAAGAGAAGTGGTAATGGGAGCAGAAATGCAGCTACTGTAATTACCAGTCAGTGTTTCAGCAAAAAGGCTAAATTTATGAGGTTTATGAAAAAAAGACTCTTGATTCCGCCACTTTTTAAGCAAAAGTACAAGTAGTTTCACGACCAGCTTTAAAACAATTTGAATCTCAAAAAAAATCTCACTTTCTTCTCATACTGCTACTTTTTGCAGACATATCCTAAAGCAACATCTGCATTTGTTACTGGAGATTTCTACTTACACGGCACAGTGCAATGGAGAGAAGCTATTACCATAGAATTTGTGGAATAGTTTTTGTTCCAATAGTACCTCGATGCAGTTTTCATGACCTGTAAGAGATCAGATATTTGTTGCACAAGGCAGATCATTCACTTAATTCATATTAGGCTTATACAGGTTAGAATTTAACACTAAGTTCAAAGCTGACCACAGTGTGTATACATAAGGTAAGGTATAACACAAAAGATAAAATAGGTTTTTTTCTACTTTTATGGCAGCAGCAAGATAGATCCAGGCTAATATTAGCACTTCTTGAAAAAAAACAGGAAAGAAAATGTCTCTTTAATATGGTATGTATGTTGCCTTACACATCTCCAAAGATTATATTAAATGATCATACTGAGCTTTATCCTTATATTAAGCAACCAGTTCAGATTATCTAGTTTAAAATAATCAATTCAGAATATCCACCTGTTCATGTGGTCTCTTGCATCAATAAATAAGAACGTGACACCTCAAGGGAGCATTCCTGGCCCCACAGAAATCAGTTTCATCACTGACATGAATAAAACCAGAATTTCACCCTGGCTTCTTGTGACCTGGAGCAATGAGCTGTAAAGTCACTGGGAGGTGAATTTCCCTGGCTCCTGAGCTGAGTGCTGCACACAGAGCACAAGGAGAGGGGAGATGATTTGCCTCTTCCTTTCAAGCTCCTCAGAGTGTTAGGCTGTGTTCTTACGATGTTTGCCTAAACCTGAGGCCACCTTTGAGCTGGTAGGACCTTACCGTTGTAGGAAGCCCAGTGCAGTGGGGTGTAGCCCTGGTTGTCCTTGAGGCTGCAGTCTCCCTCGGCCAGCGCTATCTGCAGCAGCTCGCTGAGCCATGTGGCGTGACCACGCGCGGCCGCGAAGTGCAGGGGAGTTCTGCCGCGGGCGTCTTTGCACAGAATGGACACTTCTTTCTCTAACAGCATTTGAACACACTCCTCGTGCCCAGTCATAATCTGAGAACAAAGAAAGGAGTAAAGAGGTTGACATAATACAGGTTCTTGCCCGGGAAATACGGAACATGATCGATGTCTACGGATGTGACACAGCCTGGCTGGGACTCAGCAGGCAGAGATCAAAGCTCCTTTGCTCCCACCAGTACCTGTGCTAAGTGACACACTGACATGCATTTGGTGCTCTCTCAAAGGCATTGATTCCCAGTATGTGGAACAGACTCCACTAAGTAAGGCATAAAGGCAAGGGGGAAATTAAGACTAAGGAAACAGAGGGAACAGAGATGAGGTTCAGAAAACCCGAGTGTGGCTTCTCAAAACCATGTATGACTGGGAAAGAAGGCCCAAGAAAAAGAAAAAGGATCAAGGATATAATCAGAAAACTGAAAAGCTGCTTTAATAGCTGGGCAGCTACTGCCAGTGACCTCTGCATCACACACACCTTAGCTTGGCTATCTCAGGCATGTTCTTGTATTGCTGTCAATACAGAGCAGAATTTTTATGCCATCGCTTTTGTTACAGACTTGTGCTGGACTTCTAAGCTGAACTGCTCACTGCAGTTATTGTAAAGTTCTGGATAAATGTCAACCCTTGCCTCAGCTTCACACTGGATAAGAAGTTAGACTTAGCTAGAAAAGCCCAGCTTAGTCTAGTGAGACTAGAAAAGATTAGATCTGTCTCAAGTTTCACTGCCTTTTACTGACACCATCCCTCCCACGAAAAATGAAAATAACTGCTGGCCAGTTCTTTTAAAGAAATTATTTTCAGAATTCTTAGCATGCTCAGTTGTAAGAATAATGATTGTTATTATAAAGTGTCTAAAGCCAAGAAAAAATGGTCTAATCAGTATTTTAGCTAATTCATTAAAGCAAATGTGAAACAAAGTCAAAAGCAGAGCATTACTGAGAGCAGATCTGTCCTGCTTTGGACCCCATTGACTATGCTTGGTCATGTTTCCAGTCATTTACAGTGTTCTGTACATCTAAATATCACTGGATTTATAGTGAGCTGTAGTCACAGTAAAACACATAATTAAGAATCATAAATGTTAAGTCACCCCTCGATGTAAAGCTGTGCATCCCTGGAGATCAGCTGCATCTACAGATGCTTCTTTTTCAAGTAATAAAGAAACAGCATCAATGTGCCCATATGCCACTGCAAGCATTAGTGGGGTTCTACGAGAGAAAACAAAAATCAAACCAGTCACAGCTATACAATGACACGCTACGTGCTCCAGCTAACTTACACAAACAGAGAAATCAGGAAGCATTTCCCTCCATTCCTGCCCATAAACCTGTCTTTCTCGCCACACTCATCTATGTGACACCCAAGTGATGACCTTTTCTGTGAAATTATTAGATGCCTAACAACCAACTGCCATGACTGAAATAGAAACAATTTGTAAGCAGTTTACAGAGCAACATGATTCTAGACAATCTGTTCTCTTAGTAACCTACCATTACTGTCACCTCTGGTGACACATGAGCTGTACAATATCCAAGTGCTGTGAATGAATGTCCCTCCTAGTCACCAAGATGGCTATGACCCAAAGCAGTTATTTTCCAAATCTGCACAATTCCTTAAAGGGGATGAAGGGTCAGGAGGAAACCATTCAAGCCAAAATTTGGACTAACACATCTTCCATTTCTATTCTAAAAGAGATCTCTTCTTCTATTTTTAGGCAAGACTAATGCCATTTAAAATTATGTATACAGACAGATATGTTTCAGACACCCCAAGAGAGTTTATTTAACTGTTCACATTTTCACTTCAAAAATATACTTTATTCTCCCTCTATAACTGTGATTTAACAAGCAGTAAAGTTTTTGTAGGAACATCTCAGATCCATGTGTCACCTCGAATAAACATTGTGTCCCACTGCACCAGCCTAATGCACCAAGTAAACTCTGAAATCGCAGTGTTTTAGAAAGAAAAGGGCTCTAGAAACATATCTGGAGTTTGTTAGTTTGTATTGAATCTGGCCCTCAAGAGCTGTAAAATATTGTTTAAAGTATGAAGCAAAGACTAAGATTAATGACTAGCCCCTTCCACACGGCTTAGATCAGCTGAATGTGTACTTTGTAATCTCTGCCAAGTTCTATGAGGACAAGTGCAGGAAATACAGTATTTCAAATAAATGCTTTTTTGGTGAGAAATATGAGAAGCTATTTGAACCACAGAGCTGAAAAAAAACAACCCCACAGAGGAAACTTACTGTCCTTTGGCATCTGTCACATCAGGGTTGTCTGCAACTTCTAGCAACAACCGCAGACAAGGTGTGTGGCCATTAATGACTGCAGAGAAAAGAAGTATGTTTCATTAAAATGTGTCTACTCTCAGATACTTTTCCACTGGAATACTTATGGATAAGAAATTTCCTTTTCAGCAAGGAAAATACTCTGCAGTATAAGAGTATTCCACCAGTTTTCATTTAACTTGTGCCAATGACATGTTGAGCTGCTGTTTCCCCCGCAGTAAGATGAGGATTAGTGCTCTTAGATACAAAGCTCCAACACGAGTAAAACAGAAATGGTAATTTTCGCTATTGAGAAGATTTCTCCTTAACCAGACAGTATTTCCAAGTGCCCCAGATGGAGCAGCAGACAAAGCTTTCAGCCATCAGGTTTGGAACATGGTAGGAACTACATCAGCAAAGCTCCTGAATTTTCTGTGCACTTACAAGTATTTCAGAACTGTTAGGAACAAAATAAACATCTGCAAAGAATGACCCACAGGGGACTAAAATTCCTTTTGAGATTTTCTATTTTATCACAATAATACTTATCCAAAATGTTGGGATTTGGTGCTCTTTGTTTGGTTTTTGGGGGGGGGGGTTGT